GTGTGGAGCACTTCCCTGGAGCTGGCGCAGCCCACGCCAGCCCCCTACCAGCCCCCTGCACCAGCCTCCATCCCTGCCTTGCTTCAGCTCAGGGAGGAGCCACTGCCTGCCCCAAGTGAGGCTTCGCCAGCTCCGGGACACTGCTCTGCCCCTCCATATGGCCTCAGCCCTGATGCGGGGGAGCAGAGCACTTCCCCGGAGCCAGTGGAGCCCGTGCCAGGCTCCTGCCCCAGCCTCTCCTGGTGCGTGGCCTTGAAAAGGCTGTGTGCAGCCATACTTTTAGTTGTGCATGGCTGTGAACGCACATACCTTAGAGGGAACCTTGTTCAGTTGTAAAGTTAATGGAGCACATTTGCAAAAGTATCCAACCAACAGTATAAAATGCATTGTCAAAAGTGACTAAGATGTTTAGGAGCCTAAATCCCCTTTGTTTTCAGTGAGACTTAGGCCCATATTCCATTTTATCTACTAGGCACATAAATAAACATAGGTGCCTAAGTATGAATCTACTCCTCCCTACTCAAGTCTCTGAAAAAACTATTAATAAAAAGGTGGGTGAGTCCTCCTCTTCATGGCTTTTTTATGGCTTAATCTTAAGGATAAGATGATGGTGTGTTACAAATGGATTTTCAGAGATTTAAATAGGGTGGAATAGAATTGCACATAGACACCTAAGTCCACGTAGATGCCTAATAGGTGGGATCCTAAGTCACTTAGAAGCTCTTGAAAATTATGCTAAACTTGTTAAAGCAGCTGAATTGGGCAAAATGACTTGTTATAATCTCATTTATATTATTGCAAATTCTCACAGTCAAACCTGCATGATTGTCCTGCATTGAAACTCTGTGCTCCAGGATATATACTATTTTATGCCAATGGCCATTCTTATTGCTGTGTGTCTCATAAAAGCATGTTCTCCTGTTGTGATAACTAATGGATAGTTAATCACAGAGATTGCAAACAAATGGAAAATCCTGCTGTTCCATAAAAGAGAAATGATGATCTCTTTTTAGGTATGGTGACACAGGCATTAATAGAGGGCAGAGGACTACCCATAGAGAACAGGAATCAAGGACACGGAGGATGGTGGAGCAAGATTATGGAAAAGATGGTTTCTTTTGTGGCCCTCCAGGTAAGGAAATTCTCATTAAAGACTTTGGATAGATAACTGCCAAGAAATACAAGAAACTTCCCATATTTCCTAATAAAGCTGAGAGAAGCCATGCTCAGGACATGCAGACTTGCTCTGAAAATATTAAAGTAGTCAGATATAATTAAATTCTATGTGTTCCAAAGTGCCTTTCACTTAGTTGTCACATCTTTTTTGCAAACATTAACATATTAAACCTCACCACCTAGCTGTAGGTAGAACTGTTTGAAATTCTTCCATGGAAAGTTTTTTCATTGAAAAATTTGTCTTCACCTAAACCTGATTTTTTTTTTTTTTTTTTGCAAAAAATCATTTTGGAAGAAATTCACCATTTTAAAAAAGATTGAAAATGTTTAAAAAATCCTTATAAAATTCAATGTTTTCAGAAACAGTTGTTTGGAAATGATGGGGAAAGTACCTGCTTTCTCTCAACTTTACATCTTTCACCCTTCTTGTCCCCAACGTATAAAAACATGAAAAAAGCTGAAAAGAAAAGCTCTGCTCTTACTTCCCATCTTAAGGAAGTGCTTCATTTGTCAGGGCCCTTAGAGCTTTTGGTTATCCCTCAGCCCCTCAATCTTTCCAACTTTCTGTGATAGGAATCATAGTCTAAGCCACAGTAGTTTCTCCACAGAGATGAAATTCATAGCCTAAAAAGGATATTTAAAGAACCTTATGTCCTTACCTCTCTGATGTTGACAGTTATGGTACGCAGACTACAGTTAAATAAAGACAGTCAAAAAGCCTCAGGCTGAATCAATTCAGTCTTCACAGGTTAGTCTGAGCTGCATAGATTGAACCAATAAGCACGTGATCAGACATTCACTTTCAATTCCTGAAATGCAGCCACATGCCTGCAGTGGCCCAGGCTAGAAGCTGGAGAGTGCTACAGCATGCCTCCCAGCTCTGCTGGAGCAGACACCTTGGGCCAAGGCTACCCCACCCACCCTGCAAAGGGTGTGGGGGAGGTGCAAAGCATCCTGAGAAGTGAATTAACTTGAATCTCGAGGGGAGCTGGGACAGAAGTTCAATAAACAGATTTAACCTAAATCAGTTAAGTCTGATACTACATCCATCCAGGTTTATCTTCAACCAGTTTCAGCCATTTTGAAAGCGGTTTATGTGCTCTGAACTTCTGTTGTGTTACAGGTTTGAACTAGTTTCTGATCATTTATATTGGTTTATGTGTAATGTCTGTTCCTATGAGTCAAAGCAGACATAATGTAACCCTGCCCTTCACTAGCAGCCACAAGCTCTGTGTTTCTTTTCACTTAACAGAAAGTACATCAGTAGTTTTAAAGGTAATGCTAGAGTAAAGTTTTGTCCATAGTGACTTCCAAACAGCCTGGCTGATCCTTCATGGTCTACAGATTTTGGTTTTTTTCATGGCTATATTTCTGTTTTTCAGAAAAGAGTTATTCCCAGCTGGTATTTATGTCCACAACTGCTGGAAGCTTATGGAACTTGCAAGCTATTCAGTCCATGTGTCAAATTGAACAGGAGAAGGTTAGTAATGTCGTTTGGAGCACATACATATACTTCTCTTTTCAGTCAATATCTACCTTTTAGGCATGTGGGAAAGTGGTAATATAAGACACAATGCATCTTTCATCCCAGATGATGCAAAAGCTTATTCTATCTGTCACCAATATTCAGTTGCTGTAGGGTTGAAAAGCAGTGCATATTGACAGTTTGGGCCAGAAACTGTAGACTATTTAAGTCATCATTGGAACTAGGCTGACACTTCAAACACTAGGATTAATTAGATTACATAGGTTTGTGAAAAGGACCATAAGATCTTTAATAACTATGGGCAACTGGTGTCTCCTGAGTTGGGGGGGCACTTGCCCCCCCAGTGGACAGTCAGCGACCGGGAGGGGCTACTCCTACGGTCGATCCCTCAGGCCCAGGGGGGAGCTCCCCTGCAGCTGATCCCGCCAATCTGCCACTGGCAGTGGCACACCACTGGCACATTAGGGTTGGTGGTATAGACCGTGAGGGGACCACTTCTCCTGGTGCACTCCCAGGCCAATGCTCTAAGTGGGGGGGGGCACCAGTGCTCTTGCCTGCCCCCCTGCTCAGGAACTCTGCAGTCAGGGGATGCATGTGCACCCACTATGCATCACCACTGTTAATAACTATAAAGGGTCAGATTTTCTGAAGGTTACGTCTCCAGAAGTTTGGCATTCTCTGCAAGGGCATGTTTATTTTTAAGTCACTGCTTTGATGGCAGCTTGGTGGACATAATCAAACTAGCTTTAACAGCTATTTTGAGTACCGGTAGCAGTGAAGCCACAGCAGCAGCACGTCACTCAGTGTGGACAGAAAAATCCAAAAAGTAGCTACCTTGCTAGCAGTATCCAAGCTAGTTAGTCCAGGTGTGTCTACACTACTTGCAACACAGCAGTGGCCATACTACAAATGCACCCTAAGTTAGAAGTGGTCATGTTAGGACATATAAGCCAGGTGGCCTTTGTCCAGCCAAAAAGGGCTGCACTGGATATGACCAGTCTTAATATTACAAACTGCTAGTCCAGTGCTGGTACAATGGCACTGTGGTCTCTTGCAGATCATAATTGGAAGACAATAAATTAGCTTGACTACATCTGATTTATTAGTGATGGTAAGAGAATCTCAGTAAGTATCTGATAGAGAGAGATTGTGAAAGTCTTCCAAAGACGTTTGGACATATCTGCTGTTTATATAGGTGCAAGGCAAAAAGAACATGGAAAAGGAAAGAAAGCAATATTTGGCACATAATGGGGAAACTTTTGAACATTGACTAGAACAAGGATTCAAAATCAGGGTGCCGCAGCACCATGGGATGCCATGAGATTCTCTTAAGGGTGTCACAGGGTGCTACGCAATATTAATACTATTAGGTGTGCAAATACCTACACATGATTCACAGAGTAAATCTAGAGATTTCAGATATGAATCCATATGGTTAAAAACATTGTGACTTGCTGTGACTTTTCTGATCAGTTTACAACGGAAGAATTGCTCTATTATTTTTCTTTAGTCAATAAATGAGTGAAAACTAAGAGCTGGCATTTTCCAAGGGGTGCCTTAAGTCTAACAAGGGGTTCTGTGGGTCTAAAACACAGACCCACTGGACTAGCCTGTGGTGGGATAGCTGTGTATCCAGATCTCATCCTCCAGGGAACATCACTGGAGTAAGAGAAAAACAACTAAGACTAAAAGGATAATGGGAGGAGGGGAAGAAAAGCCAAAATAATTGTCTCCCTTCTCATCCTGAGACAGAAGATGAGTAGCAGTGAGGAAAACTACTGTTACAAGGGGGGAAACAATGGCTTGAAGAAGGGTCACATTTTGGAGATTAGCCACTGTAAGAAATATATAACTGAGGATGTGTACTGAGTTTTGGGGAAAGTGCTGTCCAGACGTCTTGTTTCCACGTCTACAGTATCTTGAATTCTGTCAACAGGAGGATGAAGAGACATGGTTTGTAAATGTGGTGAGGAAGGGAAGATTCCTGGGAGAAAGTTAAACAACTTTTATATAAAGTCGGGTGGTGAGGGCAAGATGAACCCTGTATAGGGAAGGTCTAATGTGATATGTTCTTGGCTATTTTTGCAGATCCGCTCTCACATTCATTTTAAAGATCTCTGTCAACGTACTGAAGCCAATGAATGCTGCCCCAGTTGGTCTCTGGGTAACTATATAGCTGTCCTGTACAATAGGTCTTCTTGTTTGGAGATAACCCAAGCAGACATCTCCCACACATTGATCCTGCTTCGTTCCTGTGCCCCAGACTACCACAAAGGCATCCTTACCCCTTCTTGCCTAGGTCCCAGGACTGTGAGAGAGAAACACTCTCAGTGTGCCAAACTCCCAGAAAAATGCACCCAATTCAGTGCTATTTACCAGCTTCTCCACTTCTTGGTTGACAGAGACTTTCTCAGTCCTCAGACAATGGAGTATCAAGTACCATCACTCAAATACAGCCTGTTGTTTTTGCCAACAAGAAAAGGTACATCTATGATGAGAATCTATCTGGACAACCTTGAGTCATGGGACCTGTTTGATAATTACACATCAATTACAGGAATGGACCTGGGTCTTAAACAGAAGCTTTTCAGGCACTATCTTTTACTTGATAACAGGTATCCAGTCCTGGCCATATTAACCATTTTTCTAAGTATATCTTTTTATTTACGCTCAATATTTGTAACTTTTATGGTCCTTTTGGCTGTTGTTAGTTCTTTGATGATATCCTACTTCTTGTATAAGGTGGCCTTCCAATTCACCTACTTCCCTTTTGTTAACTTGACAGCAGTCATCATTCTCAGCAGTATTTGTGCCAATCACACCTTTGTCTTTTTTGACCTCTGGAGCCTCAACAAAAGCCAAAATCCTTCTGCTGGCCTCCTGCAGTGGATGAGACAAACCATGCACCACTTTGGGTATCTTATGCTGACATCCTGCTTTACAACAGGTGCTGCTTTCTATGCCAGCTACATGAGCAATATAATTGCCATCCGCTGCTTTGCCATCTACATGGGTACTTCTGTACTGGTGAATTTAATATTCATGATGACTTGGCTTCCTTCCTCCATTGTGCTATATGAACGCTACATAGCAACAAACTGCATTTATAAGCCAGAAGATTACTGGAACAACAGTGGACACAAGAGAGTCATTCTCTTTCTTCATCATATATTCCGTGGCCTTCAAAATACCTGGTGTGAAACCTCCAAGCTGTTATTTGAAAAGCTTCTTCCATGTGGTGTCATAAAGTTTCGTTATATCTGGATCTGCTGGTTTGCAGCCTTAGCAATAGGAGGTGCCTATATATCCTGTTTTAACCCTAAGCTAAAACTTCCCACTTTAGAGACACCTTCTGTCCAGGTGTTTAGGCTAAGCCACCCCTTTGAGAGATATGATGCAGAATACTGTCACCAGTTCATGTTTGAAAGGTTGGAGCATGGAGAAGGACAACACATGCCCATCACTATAGTCTGGGGAATACTGCCTGTGGACAATGGGGATCATTTCAATCCAAAGAGCAATGGCACACTGGTGGTAGACACGACATTTACAATCCAGAAGCCTGAAGCTCAGAAGTGGCTCCTTGAATTCTGCCAAAATGTGAAGAATCAAACGTTCTATTATCCAGACCTTGAGCAAAAGTCCACGGTGTGTTTCATGGAGGAGTTTCTCAGGTGGATGGATAGTCGACAGTGCTCCCAAAGAGACCACAGCTTCAACCTCTGCTGTAACCATTTCACCTTCCCATACCGAAGTGAAGTCTTCCTGCACTGCATAAAAATTATGATCATGGAACAAGGCAGAGGGGAGGATGAAACATATGACCTCGGCCTCAGGTTTGATGGAGAGGGAAACCTAGCTGCCATGGCGCTACAGTTTCAAACTATTTACCACTACAGCTTCAACTACAGTGAAGCCAAACAATTCTACAATGAAATCGAACTCTGGATAACAGAGGAAATGAAGACTGCCCCTGTGGGGCTTCAGAATGGATGGTTCACTAGTAAACTCGAGCTATATAATCTCCAAAACAGTCTTAGCACAGAGACAATGGTGGTTATGGGGCTGTCCATAGCCATCTCATTTGTAGTGCTGTTGCTCACCACTTGGAATGTTCTTCTTAGTATATTCTCTGTTATGGCTATCACAGGCACTGTACTGGTAACTGTTGGGCTTTTGGTCCTGTTGGAATGGCAGCTCAATGCAGTGGAGTCTCTCTTCATTTCAGCAGCAGTGGGCCTCTCCATTGACTTTACAGTGAACTACTGTATTTCCTACCACTTGTGCCCTCACTCCGATCGCCTGAGCCGAGTGGCCTTCTCTCTGAAGCAGATGAGCTGTGCCACTGCCATGGCTGCCTCTGCTTTGTTTTCTGCGGGGATCATAATGTTGCCTGCAACAGTGCTGGCATACAGGAAGCTGGGGATTTTCATAATGATGATCAAGTGTATCAGCTGTGGATTTGCCAGTTTTTTTTTCCAGTCTCTCTGTTGCTTCTTTGGCCCAGAGAAGAACTGTGGTCAGATCCTCTGGCCTTGTGCCCATGCTTTCAAAGACTACTCTGATGACGCTAGGCTGAATGGCAGCTTTGCCTGTGGTAGAAGTGAGAATCCAAACAGATTACGGAAGGTTCAGGAGTCCAACACTGCAAATGAGCAGTATGAGCTCCAGCCCTTGGCCAGAAAACTGAGTGACAGTTTTGACAACAGCACTTCCACAAGTAAGTTGTCCAACCGTCCTTCAGTCCTGTCTGAGGACATGCAGCTCGAAGATAGTAGATGTCCCAAGATGGGAATTCATCCTTCTCTGGAAAGAGATAGACAAAATACACAGGAGCCCCTTGAAAACCAACAAGTGGGTCTTTGTCAGTGTCCAGCCTTGCAAACATCTTCTCCTTACAAGCATAGCAGCTCAGGAGCAGAAGCAGAAATTCATAGAGAGAGACTTTGCAGAGATTGTAGATGTCAAAAATACGGTCCAAAGGCTTGGGATGCATCCGTACGGGACCGTCATCCAGCCAACATGAAAAATGAAGGACAGCTAAATAAACCCCAGTGCTCTGGTGATGCTGCTCAACAACAGTCAGACTATACCTCAGAAAACAGTAATCTGCCTGCAGCTGAAATTTATAAACTTCACAGATGCCTTTGTTCTCCTGGCAGCAATTTCGACATGCTCAATATCTCCAGTGAGACATCTATTAGTGATTCTGAGCAGAGCATCAAACTTACTGAATCAGCCAGTTCTTGCCCTGATGTCTTAGAGATATCTGATCCCTGTAGTCAAACAGAGAGGGGTCATCTGAATGGGAAGAGAGATACTCTGAGATTGGACCTGAAAGAGACTGTTTTTGACATATCTCCACCAGCATCGCAGCAAAACAGCTCTTCATGGAAAAATCGATTGGGATTAGGGAGTGAAGGTCTGGTTGTCCTACCAAATAGCCAACCAGACATGCCTGATGTTTGGATCAGGCGATCCAGTGTACAAAATTCTAGTTAGAGCAGCTGAAATCTCAGAGAAAACAATACTCTTATTACAGGGTAAAAGGGAAGGAAAACTCCCCTATCTGATGTGTAAATATCAAATCTTACCTCCCACCCCTGTTTGAGCAGGGAATATTTCCATGTATTTCAGCTGTGAAGATGCTTACATTTTCACAGAACCAACAAATCTGATATTGAAGAGATGAGAGGCAGAAATTAATCTTAACACAGTGCAGGCGCTTTGGCCTTCCAGTGGGCCATGCCACATTCACAACAGAACCATGAGATTCAGCAAGTCAATCTTGTTTGTCATTCTCTGTACAATAATTAATTGTTTTATTGTCAAGTCTAAACAGAAAGTTAATAATGATGAGATATGCATATTGTTGTATACTGAAAGAAAGAGAGAAATCCTCATGTCCATAATTGTTACTAATGGGAATCTGACTAATGACTGGTGTTAACTAAACAAATTCCTTTCTGTTGAAACAGATCTCTGTTTTTATCATCCACCTAGGTCTACAAACCTCTACAAAAAATTGTATTCAGGTGTTTTCAGACGTCCAGTCAATGGGTGTTTTTTTAACTGGCATGGTCTGTTACTTATCAATAAGAATATGTCATGTAGCCCCAAAGATATTTCCAACTGGGATTTCAGCTGGTTTTATTTTAGGGAATTCCTTCAGATACTGTTTAAAATTTTCAGTGTGGAATTTTTTCCTGACAAAAAGCCATGTCCCCATCCTCTTTGTGACCTGGGCAGTTTGCTTTTCATCTTTGTAGCTTGTTTCCGTCCAGGATTTTCCATACATGTGTAAAAACGTATTTTTTAAAGTTTGCATATCTGATGAATCTTGAATTCTACTTTTTCTCTACCAGAAAAAAATACTTTCTTGCCATTATCTGTTAAAATAATCAGATAAAGCGTTCTCTCTAAAATTAAATATAAAAATAAATGGTTATGACAAACTTTCCTAAACCTGTGAGATGCCTGGTACCTTTGCAGTAGAAATTATGATTCATTTTCTTCATGTTATACATGCCTAATGTTTTTTTCCCCAACTAAATCAACAAAAGGAAGTTTACACTTCCCAGAATCCAGCCACCCAATGCCCACAGAGCGCAGGTAGGCATTATTCATGCCAGCTATCCATGACACTCACCCAGGCTGGCTAGTCTGGTTAGTAACAGCAGGAACTTGAGCATAAAACTCATGTTGGAATACTGGCCCCCTTGGTTTGTATTTATTTTGTGATTTGAGTTTGTCTCACAATAGCCCAGATCCATATTGGTTGTTCTTTTCAATTCTAGGATACCTGTTCAGCATTTGGTTAGTTAAATAATAAGTACAAAAATGACTTGTGAATATAAACTGAGTTCATAGACTTGTAAAGTTTGAAGGGATGTCAACAGTCATTTAGTCCAAGTTTTACACAAATGCAAGGTGCTCTGTTCCTAAGCTCTCCAAGATGGATGCCTATGCACCCTCTTCTTGAAAACCTCCAGTGAAGGAAATTTCACAGCTTCCTTACTGTTGACCCCCAGAGCTGGTCTGAGGACCAAGGGAAGTTCAAGACACTGTTCCAAAGGTATCAAGTCCTTTATAGGAGTATAAGGAAACTTTTATGACAATTTTAATAATGAACTACTGCAAGAAAATAAAGCATAATGTAATACAAATGATGCGCACTGTCCTGGCTGGGCAGCGCCACCAGCCCCTGCCCTCACCATTGGGGCCTCAATCGGCCTAGACAGCGCACAACCAAACCAATGAATAAATGAACAAGCAGGCAGCGCGGGTGCCTGGTGAGAAGGGGCTGTGTTGCCTATTTTCGGTAGGAGAACAGCGAAGCACGTCAAAGGACTGCGATCAAGCTCCCCACCGAGGGGGTTGCCCCCCGCACAGGGCGGCGAGGTGCACTTGCTGCTGCTGACGCCGACAGAGCCGGGCTACGCCAAGCCGAGCCCAACGGAAGCTAATCCCGCCCAGAGCGTGCGGTTGGAGTAGGCGTCCCTAGGAGGCCCCCTGGCCCGTTGCTCCTGCACTCTGATTGGACGGTGCCCGCCAGGCCCCGCCCCGGCTGCGGGACTCCCGCAGTCCGGCCAGGCGGCCCCGCCCCCTCCGAGGGGGAGGGTGGGGCTCACGTGGCATCCCCCTCCTGCCCCTTCCTTGTGAGGGCTGGCCTGTCTGGGAGTGGAATTAGGCCTTCGCTTTCCTCTCTACGCATGCGCCCACATTTGGTGCCTGCGCGGTCCCTCGGGGCTGCCGTCGGCCTCTGTGCCTGCGCGCGAGTTTGCTCCTCCCTCCCGAGGCGGTTGAGAGGCAGTTCCCATTTCAAACGGCCGCGGGAGTCGGGCAGGTAAGTCGGAGCAGGCGTTGCAGGGTCCGGCTGCCTCCCTGGCGCGGCCTCATGCGTCTCGCGGTCTCGATCCACGCGGGGCAGGTGGGGGCGGGGGGTGACGCGAACGCGGCCCGGTCACAGTCCACCCTATCTCCCCACCTGTAGGCCCCGCGGCGGAGGCCTGCCTGGGGGAGGCGGCGCTGGGTAGGGGGTGGGAGGGCTGTGGCCGGTGGGGCCTGGCTTGCAGAGGGCAGGCGTCACACCCACGGTCTCCGCAGGCGGCCCGGCCCGCACGACTCGTCCACCCCGCAGCATGGAAGGCGAGCCGTCCCGCATCCCCGTCTACTCTTCGCACGCCAGCGCGCTGCCCCGGGCTGCCCCGGCAGGTGAGTGCGCGCCCGCGGCCTCGGCGGGGCCTGCCTGCTTTCCGGCGCCCGGGCACGGCGGCCTGTCCCGCAGAGGAGGGGCTTGGCGGGGGGTGCCCCAGGAGCTGGCAGCCTTCTCTGCTGCAGTGACAAGGGCTGGGCTAGAGCTGGTAAAACTGAGGGTTGGGGTGGGTAAAAATCAATTTAAAAAAGAATAAAAATGGGATTTTTAACAATTGGATTTAAATTTTTTAAGATGCTTTAAAAAAAAAAAACAACACCTATATAAAAGCACTTTTAATTTAAGATATGTTAAAGCTCAAAGATGTCATCATGGAATAGGAATTATAACTTCTAATTGTATACAACTTGAGACGATATATTCACGTCACCTATCTACAAAACTTTTCGAAGAAGGTTACAACAGGCCATGGACTATATTAGGGGCCCAATCTTACGGGGTTCGCAAAGGCTCCTCTATAGATTAGTACAGATTAAAGAAAACCACACTACCCAGTGGGACTCAGCGCTCAGTCTAGATCCCATTAAGCATCTCTGTGATGCTTAGTTTCAGTTCTGAAACTGTGGATTTGTCTCTCCAGAGAGAACATCCTTGATAACAGCAGTATATGGAGACAAGAGATAACAGACCTTATTTACCTACCAATTAGCTCTTTTGTCTCTCTGCAAGTTTGTGTACACAGAGTCAAGCCACTTTTACCTCTCTCTAAAAGTGCAAAGTTTCAAGAAGTTAAATGAATAGAGGATATCAAACAATAGGAATGCACTTTTTGTAGAAAATGATTAAATCAAGGCTTTCTGACCACTGATTTAAATCATGATTTATATCAGTTTGGTTTTAAAACAAATCTACCCTGCTGAAGTTTGCTGGGATAAAGGGCAAAATCCAGGCTGTTGCTTGCAAACAGGCAGAAAAGCAGTGAGAGAGGCTTTCTCTCCTTTTTGTGTCCTTGTGTGACAAGGTATTTAGCAGAATTCGCAGACTTGTTGGAATCTGAGGGAGCCACGTGGTGAGTGCTCCTGCTGTGGCCTTGAGCTTGGCACTTCTGGGTTGTTAACTGTGCGCTTGGTGTTTTCCGCCACCCTAGTCCCCCCAGAAAGGCTTAGACCTGAGGAGCAGCCCAGTGTTGATCAATTGTAGCTTGTACAATTTATTCCAGCCCTGCTTCTTTCTCTAGCCTGCCTCTGTCACACTGAGCTCACCTGGGCAGTGGTAAGTGGAAGCACAGGGAGCTTGCACTTCCTGGCCCTGTTTTGCTGCTGTCCAAAATGCCAGAAGGGGAAGCAAGTGTTGGATGTGGTTTCTAAGAAGGCTTTGCTTAGGTTTCCTTTTTCCTGTCCAGTGGAGCCCTGGAGAAATCGGCCTACTATTTATCATTTGGTAATGTAGCTGCAATTGGTCCAGCCAATTGGAATTGAGAGAGCGGCAAGGTTGTTTTTTTTGTTGGCAGTATCTCTTATTGAACCAAATACAAGGTTGGGGTAGAATTAAAACAAGCTTTTGACTGAGGCATTCTTCATCAGATCAGGGGAAGGAAGCATGCATAGCAATGATTGAGAACAGTGGGTAGAGCTCTGAAATTGGAGAAGGGAGAAATTCCCAGGGGTAGCACACAAGCACCAATCAAGCAGACAGATACTGACTCTGCACACTATCTGATTCCTGAAATGGTTCGTGCATGCTGTAAGTGATAATAACTAGTGCTGTGCAAAGCTTTGGTAGTTGATTGGATTCGGCCTGATTCAGGGTCTAAATCTCTGAATCGAATCAGTCGATTTGGCCATAGACTAAACAGCCAGCTGATGGCTACCTTCAGCTGGTAAGTCTGTTGGGGTTGGGGGAGGGAAGGGGTGTGGGGGAGGCTGGGGCTGAGACAAGCTGCCGGTGGGGGGGCATGGCAGTACTGGGAGCAGGGGCTCTCCCCTGCTGCCACTTGCCCAGCTGGGGAGGGGGGCAGGATACAGGCATGGCTCACTTCAAGCGGAAGGGGGCAAGTGGCAGCGGGGCATAGCCCCTGCTCCCAGTGCTGCTGTGCCTGCATCCTGTGCTTCCCTGCACCAGCTGGCAAGCAGCAGCGAGGCAGAGCCCCTGCTCCCAGCGCTAATGCAGGCGCAGCAGCACTGGGAACAGGGGCTATGCCCTGCTGCTGCCCGGAGCATGCTGCACCTGCATTGCGCTCCCCCTCCCCTCCGTGCTGGCTGGGGAAGCAGCAGCAGGGCGTAGCCCCTGTGGCTCCCCTTGCCAGGAAGAGGCAGTCACGGAAGCCCCCATGCCCTGCCCAGCCCAG